GAATGTATTTTGATTTGGCCAATCACCGTTTTTTTTGTGTAGGAGTGTTTCTTTTTTTTTTTTTAAACGGATATAAATCTGAGAAAGATGTTTCTTTATTTCACCCTGATATAAATTTAACCAATCACCAGCTTCTGTCTGGGGGGGAGAATCAGCGTCGCTGCAGGGATAAGAGCGCCGCCGCCGCCGTTCACTCCAACACCTGTCAGCGGCAGAGTGAACTGAGTTCTGAGTTGTAGTAAAGTTCAACTTCACTCTTAGCTGTGATGAGGGTTAAAGATCAGACTCTCCCACGCCGTCAGGAGGGGTCACGGCAGGATGTTTGATAAAGAACCTTCTTTTTTTCCCCGCTGCTCCCTCCGCCTGTCTCCTGCTGGAGTCTTCAGGTCAGTTAATAATTGAACGTGTGCCCGGAAAAGGGATGGAGGAGGGGGAACTTTTCCAGAGGGAGACTGCGTTTGTGCGTTTGTGTGTTTGTCTCTGCTACACTTGCTGCTCTGTTGACCTTTAAACGATTTATGATGACTTTTTACGTTGATGATGATGTCATCCACAGATACTGATTAATCAGCGATGATTACATTTTGAGCTACAGAACAGATTTACTCCGGACAAACACCGACTGGTTCAGACTTCTGTCACTTCTCTGTGATCTATTTTCAGAAAATGTGATGTTTCCAAAATGGCAGGGATGACGGTGAAGTTGCCAACGCTCCCTTCGTGCCCACTACTTGTCAGCTCGTCTGTGAACGTGTTGTTGTGGCAACGGCGCCGAAGTGGCAGTGATTCAGGTCCCGTTCGACGTCCGTCCTCTACATGTTCTGAAATGAAACACCTGTTGAACGTCCAAGGTGTGATGTCATCCCAGAACATTTCCACTGAGTCACAGCCAGATTGATGTTCCATGGTCTCTGGGTAACACTCTGCTACATTATTGATCAGCCATCGAAACACCTGTTGAACGTTCCTGTTCGATTACACCGAGGAAGCAGCGCGTCTTCTGTGTTACATTGCCCCCGGTGGACGCTGGGAAAACTGTGCTTCAATTTCATTGGAGTACAGATTTCTAATTAGTGATCAACAACAGGACACAGCACTGAGTGACGCTGTAGGAAAACTGCAATATTTCTCTACACAACAATACCTAAAAAACAGCTGATAAAAAACAACAATTTTTCATTTTCTCTCTTCAAAACTTCCAAGCACAAAAAAGGATTTAAAAACCAATAATAATCAGTATCTGATCTGAACAGGCAGCTCTCCAATCTACACCTGCTGTACATTTAAAGAGACTTATAAGTTGCATTAGTGCCACCTATTGGACAGATCAAAAGAGGAAGAGGACGGAACACATC